AACTCATTTGCGTCTCATTTCCACGCCTTATATGAATGAATGCAAAGAAAACGGTAAATAGTTTTGTAATTATATATTTATACAATTAATATTATTTAAAATCCTAATTTATGTATTCATAACAGATATTAGTGATAATCTTAACTGTCACTTAAATTGTATTGAAAATCTTTACAACAAATCATTCAAATGTTTACCCAATCCTTACATCAATGAGAAGTTTATTCTTATGAATGCGAGTCAAACACAGTATAGAATATGTGGTCATAATAATACAAATACAGAATATTCTGTTAATAAAAACTATTGCAAAGAGAAATGTATTAAAAATTGTGAACAAAAATACTATTCATTAGAATTGGAAGACAATGAATACACCGCAAGAAATGACTCTAATATTAGGATTGAATTCAAAATAAGTCAAGAATTTCACTACAATTCTTAAAAGTGTTTTCATAGCATAAAGTGATTGAAGGAATCGTTTGAAGAGAAATGACTCTAATATTAGGATTGAATTCAAAATAAGTCAAGAATTTCACTACAATTCTGACAAAAAGTATTTATTCGTTGACTTCATGTCAAACATCGGAGGACTCATTGGGTTGTGGTTTGGGATGTCATTTATAAATACCAGTGCTCTCATTAGACTCGTATTAATTTATATAAAAAAGTATATTAATATTTTACTTATTCAAAGATTTCAAGCTTTAATAACGTATATGAAATTAGTTATAGAAAATCTTTTAAAATACAAATGGAAACGAATTGTGAAATTAATTACAATACCTATAATATGTTATCAAATGTATGTATTAATTGATAATTATTTACAATTCTTGACCCAAACCTCAATACAAATGATTGCATACAAAGACATCGCTAATAATAACCGCATTTCTCTTCAAACGATTCCTTCAATCACTTTATGCTATGAAAACACTTTTGAAGACATTTTATTTGATCCCTATATTAGACAACATTTTCTAAATATATTCAATAAAATAAACTTTACCCAGCTGGATAAATTGGCAATAAATTCCAGCGATGATTACATTAATAAATTTATTTTGTATCATTATAATATTGTCAAACAAAACCACATGAAAAGTGTGACATATCAAAAAGTTACTGCTGATTTAATGCACATGTCATTGCGATATATTAATGTCAATAATTATGAGGAATTTAAGGACAATTTGTTAGCTATTAAAGATAATATCATTAATTCAACACTATATGAACTAAGTGTATATTCATCAATAATCCTTTGTACAATAAATATTTTAAAATGTGAGCAAATAACACCTAAATTTAATATATTATCGTGTTTTGGCAAATGTCACACATATTTTTCGGATGTTAAAAACTATGACTTTGAGTCATATAAATATTTTACAATTGGTATAGATTTTAGCGAGAAAATACTTTTTAATAAAAAAGATAATAAAAAAAGATTTTTCAAAAAGAAGTTTATATTGCATTCACAAAACTCTTTACCACTTATTACTGATAATGTGATTGAATTCAAAGACAACCCAAACAGTGAAATCAAATTAATTAAAATAATTAGACATTCATTCAAACGATTGCCGAAACCATACGAAACCCAATGCTATGAATATCCGACAAATGAAACACAATTTCATTGTTTGAATATTTCATCAAAAATACAATTATCGTCAGGAAATTCATATAAATTGATAACGACTAATGCTACGAAAAGTCATATCAGAATCACTTCCAATGTATTCCCAAATATAATAGTTTATTAACCATTCGCTTATACGACGACTATATTGACCCAAATGTCAAGTTTTGTTCAGATTATTATATAAATAAGGAAAATAAATTTAATTACAAATTGATCAAAGATTGCCAAACAAAATGTCCTGTTTCATGTATTAGTGATACGTTTATGTATCAAATTGATAATATAAATAGGGATAGTAAGATTATAAACAATAAATTTGTTTTAAATGACAATTTTTACATTCAAATAACATATTTGCCTCAATTATTATTCATACAACTGGTCATAAGTATCGCCAATATATTGAGTCTATGGCACGGAATCAGTTTCATTGGTTTACTATTCATTGTTTGAATAAATGCTACGAAAAGTCATATCAGAATCACTTCCAATGTATTCCCAAATATAATAGTTTACTAACCATTCGGTTATACGACGACTATATTGACCCAAATGTCACGTTTTGTTCAGATTTTTATATAAATAAGGAAAATGAAGTCAACTATAAATTGATCAAATATTGCCAAATAAAATGTCCCATCTCATGTATTAGTGATATGTTTATGCATCAAATTGATAATATAAATAAGGATAGTAAAATGAAACTTGAAAATAAATTTGTTTTAAATGAAAATTATTACATTCAAATAACATATTTGCCTCAATTATTGTTCATACAACTGGTCATAAGTATCGCCAATATATTGAGTCTATGGCACGGAATCAGTTTCATTGGTTTACTACAGGATATGATGGGATATATTGATAGATATGCTAACAATTTGTATATAATACAGATTTTATATTACTTTAGATCTAGCAATATCAATTCATTAGACCTACAAATCTATTTAAAAGTAAGCAACGGTGTTAATGTACAATATGTTAACTAATTATATGAAATTATTGTTTTTCACTGTTTCACTCTCTATTGTATAATATTTAAATAGCTTAATAATTTTTATAAATTATTTTACTATAGCGCGTATTTTCGGCAATACTTTTGGCACTACTTATACACCAATTATACGACATATCTGTGCATTACTTTAGCTATGAATATATTATTACAATCGACACCACTGACTATCAAACTGATGGGAACTACCCTTTCGTCTCATTAGTCGTTATCAATTTATATGAATTTCCTGACGATAATTGTATTTTTGATGAAACTGAATGTCATTTTAATACAACAATCGGACAGTTTATTGATGATCATAATGATAAAACAATTTTTAACCAGTACAATATATTTTTGGACACCACGATCAATTTCAGTGACATAAAATCTGTGGATTCTATTTATATCGCACCTTGGTTTTTATTACGGACATTATACCTGAACGAGTCTATTGTGAATAATAACACAATGTTTGCAATGAAACTGATCTATAATAAAAAACGGAATACATTACTTGATATACTTATACATTCTAGGCCATACCTAGGAATAGTGGATGTTGATTCATTATTTAGTGAAAAATATCATTTCAATCACACGTTGATTATAAAGAAAACGATTGTCACGTATTTGCCTGCACCTCACGGAAACTGTAGTTCCTATGCCGGCACTACTGGTGAACAACCATTTGGTTCCCAATCGCATACACAGTGTGTGAGACGTTGTGTCGGATATTATTGGAGACAAAGATACAAATGTTATCCGATTTTCATTGATAATTATTTACATGAATTAGACTATAAACCAAATGATATGGAAAAATACTGTTATTATCGTGATAGATACTTAAACCTATATTATAATATTAGTGTTGAATGTTTGAAATATTGTCCCAAAGATTGTTTGAAAGTTGAGTACAACTGGAGAGTCATATCAAGTGATTCACAAATTGGTAACGAATTGTGGTTTAACTCGAGTCTTCAGAATAGGTTTTATGAGACATCTATGGTTTGGGACTCAACACAACCCCTGTATGTCTATCGGGAGGAACCGATTATGTCTCTAACAGACTATATGTCATATATGTCATATACTGGAGGACTGTTTGGTCTATGGTTTGGCACTAATGGCAAAGACTTCATCATTTGGTTAACACTGAGAATCCGTTTGCTATGGATTTGGTTTGCAATGAAATACAATCAATACTTCACTACCACTAGAGTACATGTGTTTCACAATTAATTAGATTTATTTGAAATAATTAAATATTTTATTGTAATTAATTTATTTATTTAATAATTGACATTTGACAAATAGCAATTATACCTTACGAACGTATATAAATTATAATTGTAATTTATTGAGATATTAACAAATTAATATGTAATTAAAATAAAAAACTTATATTTTAATTACTATCATGATTATATAATATAATATCTTTACAGGGTCAATCAATAAGTACATTAAAAATATCAAATATAAGTAATATTTTGTTAATAATAAAAATAATATTAATATTAAAAATTATTTAAATTTTGTTAAATCTTAATAACATGATATAACTCGCATATTTGTATATTATTTAATGACCCCGAGTAGTTCCTTGGTAGTATCCACCTGTGAAGGGCCTACCAGTGCCATACACACGGTAGGTGCCAGTATGACCCCCATAACCGGGGCTACCAGTGCCATACGGGTAGTTAGTATACCCACTGCGCTGGGAGCTTGTGTACCCACCCGGTCTATAAGTGGTACCGCCATAGTAATAACGTCCAGTTCCTGGTTGGCCAGTTACCCCATAATAGCCGTTTGAAGTACCGGTTCCACTCCAGCGTCTAGTCTGTCCACTGTTGTAGTAGTTATAAGTCCCGGTGCCATAGGTCTCAGTGGTGTAAGCGCTGGACAATGATGAGCTAGATAGTATTATGGAAAATGCCATGATAAGACCTAATTAAAAATGATATAATTATAAATTATTTATAATTGTTGCATGATAAGTTATTAATTTCTAACTTAATAATTAAAACTAATAAAATTATATTTAGTTTGATAATCAGTAATAAAATAATTAATAAGCTGTAATGATAAATATAATTATGCATGTGAAATAATAATTATTTGTAAAGTTATGTAATGAAATCCCAACAAATAAATTACCCGGTAACATTTTAAGGTAATCTTGATGAAAACGCAAATATCTTAATATTTTTGGTAAATAAATCTAAAATAAATGTCGAATGTTTAGATAATTTAAAAATAATATTTTCAAGTAAATCTAATCTTTATTACTTATATAATATAAGTTATATTAGATTTCATACAATGATTGAAATAATGTTTAATTATATTATTATAAAATACAATTCTGGGAGAAATAAAAGAGAACTAAATTTAACTTTTATTTAATTAGTTTATTATTATTAATAGTGTTTTGTATGAAAAATACATTTTCAATATCAATGACAATTGTATTGTTTATTATTGTCAGTAATGTTTGGCATAAAAATCAATTTCTCGTTTAAATGGGTACATCATACCTACCTGTGCGATATGTTATAATAATACACGGTATGTGCAGTGTACTATTATGTATAACTTTTTAGATAGTACCTGTACAAAAACTTTTAGTGTATTTGATTTGACAGCTAGAAAAGAGCATGTACATTCAAATATAATAGATTTCGCTGTCAACTTGTTTGTAAAATAATCAGAGTATAGCTATACCTTGGTTTTAAAATTATATACTGTATTAGTATCAAATACTTTTAAGTACCTAATGAATATCCTAAAATGTTATATTACTGTTATATAATATATATGTAAATTCATATTTTTGCAATTGGTAATTTCACTAATACCTTGCTTATAGTAAATAACTATCACAAACTTATAAATAAATACATTGCACGGATAAAGTCCAACAAATATTCGTAATATACCTGAAAATAATATAACAATTAGGAAACAATTAGAAAACATTACTTTCAATAAACATACTTCCAGTTCCACTCGACCCAAGTAGCAATCGTCCTTAGTCTTAGAGTCCATGGCCAGGTAGTAGGGTCTGAGGTAGTAGTCAGTAGGGGGGTCGGCGAACCTCTTTTTCTCATAATTATATGTATGCATAATGGGTGCATCCTCCATATATAATGTTTGATAGCCTTTCCTATGATATTCCTAGTATTTAAGAACGAAATTAAAATTTTGTAAAATATGTAACTAGGTTGCTAGGCGAATCAAAATTGTAAAGTAACTTTCTAAATAAACTTATAACAAACTGTAATCGCCTAGTATGTATTTAATCATTATTAATTTATATAAAGTGCATGATAATATCTATTTAAAAGTTTTAACACAGGGTCTAAAACATAGGGTAAATAAAATAATATAAAACATAGTTGTAATACATTATCCATATTTTCTTGACAGGTCCATCCTAAAACATGTCTGTCCACTATCAACGCGTGCTAATTGTGGTCATAATGGAACGCCTATGCGGCACTGGGTTATCATCGCAAACACGTGACTCGTATCGGATGAAGAGACAGCTCACGTGCTACCAAAGAGATGTGAGATGCCTGTCCTTCCGAACATTCTCCACTGTGTCGAACATAGTGGGTGGGGCTGTCGGTACCGTCAATTGCACGGCTCAGGTCAAGAACGCTTGCAGAGATGGTAACGAATTATACAAACCAGTGTAATTTGGTTTATGTTTTTATATTAGATAAATATGAGTGAATCAATTATATTTTTAACTCTCATTACAATATAATATAAATGTTAACACTTTATGCTACCAAAAACTGGTATATGCGCATAAAAGGCAGCCTTTCCTCATACTTTGCGGACAGTGTCTGTCGTATGTCTCCGAACCTCAACCTGTGGTCCGAGAAGAACACGATTACTGTATTCGACACCAAATTCTCGGCAAATAATTGTCCAAAAAGTCTATCAATAATAGCATCAAAATATCCGACATTATTGAGGATATCGTGTGTGAGTCGAGCCATCAAATGAAAGGCAAAGTACTTTTGTTTTCTGACATTCATTGCACGGTAACATATCATAGTATGTTATATGAATTTACATGAAAAACATAAAATTTCTATTATATTAACATAAAATCAATTTTTGTAGCATAATAAACTTATTTATAAGACTAGAAGATTGATTTTAGTTATCAAAACAGATTGCAATCATATGTCATAAACAACATTACGGTATACTATCGCTAAGGTGTGCAAACAACTTTACATGCTAACATTAAATTTAACTAATTAATTTATTTGAGCAATTATACATTGTTTAAATAATTATTATGTAAAAGCTTTATTTTATACATGTTAATTTATAAATCAAAATTTATTTTGTTTTATTAAATCATGGTATATGTTTGCTATACATTTAGTTATAATGTAATCATATATATTTATTATTAATCTAAATTATAAATAAAATAATTATGCTAATAATGCACAACAATGTTTATGATAAACAACTGGAAAAATTTTGTATTATAAAATATATAACATTATACTAATTTACATTTTTATTTTATATAATAAATATAATTGTTAATGTTATGTTATACTACTGATTTAAATATGATCCAGACTTTTTACGTAATTTATACACTGTGTATTAAAATAATTTTTAATATTTTTATTTGTTATAAGCTTTGATAGTTAATTAATTTACGCAAAATATTATTGAAATTAATAATTTCACCAATATAAAATTATATTGACTAAAAATTATAAATAAAACTAATATAACATTGGGATATTCAACAGTGGACAGACCAGACGCTGGGATGGAACTGGTACTCCAAACGGCTATTATGGGGTAACTGGCCAACCGGGAACTGGACGTTATTACTATGACGGTACCACTTAAAGACCGGGTGGGTGCACGGGCTCCTAACGTCGGTATACTAACTAATCGTATGGCACTGGTAGCCCTGGTTATGGTGGTCATACTGACACCTACCGTGTGTACGGCAATGGTAGGCCCTATACAGGTGGATACTACCAAGGAACTACTCGGGGTCATTAAATAATACACTAAATATTCAACAAGTACATAAATTTAAATATTTTTATTAACAAAATATTACTTATATTCTGATAGTTATGGTGTACTTATTGATTGGCCCTGACAATATATTATAATATTAAATAATCATATTAGTAATTAATATAAAACTTTGTAATTTTAATTTCATATTCATGTGTCAATAATTTAATAAATTACAATTATAATTTATTATAATTGTTGGTAAAGTATAATTGCCATTTTTCAAATGTCAATGTTTAATTAAATTAAATTAATTACAATAAAAAGTAAATTTATTATTTAAATAATTAAAATTAATTGTGAAACACATGTACTCTAGTGTTAGTGAAGTATTGGTTGTATTTCATTGCAAACCAAATCCATAGCAAACGGATTCTCAGTGTTAACCAAATGATGAAGTCTTTGCCATTAGTGCCAAACCATAGACCAAACAGTCCTCCAGTATATGACATATAGTCTGTTAGAGACATAATCGGTTCCTCCCGATAGACATACAGGGGTTG